TAAAGTTTACTTAAGTCAAAGTTGTTCTTCTTCTTCTCCTTCTTCTTCTCCTTCCTCCTCCTCCTCCTCCTCCTCTTCTTCTTTTCAAGAGCACAATGTAAAACTTGGTTTAGAGGAATCACTTACTCTTATTTCATTATTTTGGAAATGGCATGATTCAAACCATTTACTCGTATTTTACTCTTGTGGAAATGGCAGGATTCATGATTTGGGGCCTGTCTGCAGGAGAAGCCACTTTGTACTCACTGATTTTGAGCAGACACTTTGAGATCTCTGATGCTGATGGCTGCCGCTTTCAGAGGGCGGTGACCATGCCCTCCAGTGGCTTAATTTTCAATGTCACCCAGCACTTCCCATTGGGAAAAGTACCCAGTGAATATTGTGGAATGAGGAAACAGCTTAGGAAACATCTACAGTATTTGGTGCTGTTATTAGGAGGTGCCCTTGAGTCAAGTCAGACTCACTGTGACCCTATAAACAGTAGGTCTGAACCGTGTCCTGTCCTGTGCCATCCTCACCATCTCTGACACACTCAAGTCCATTGCCATAGCCACTGTGTCAATCCGCCTGGTTGAGGGTCTGCCTCTCCTGCGCCATCCCTCCCCCTTCCCAACTATGATGTCCTTCACCAAAGAATGACATCTCCTATCAATATGTCCAGAGCTTTATCATCTTTGCCTCCAAGGAGCACTCTGGCAATACCTTCTCCAAGGCACATCTGTTCTTTCTTTTGAAAGTCCATGAGATATCCCACACTCTTCTCTGATACCACAGTTCAAAGGTGTCAACTTTTCTTCTGTCATTCTTATTCACTGTCCAGTTTTCAGATGCACAGCAAGTGACTGAAAAGACAATGGCCTGAATCAGGCACACTTCGGTCCTCAAAGTAACATTATTGTTTCTCAATAATCTGGAGAGATCTCTGATTACAGATTCTCCCAATGCAACATGACTCCTCATCTCCTGACTGCTGCTACCAAATGTGTTGATTACGAATCCAAGTAAGATGAATTAGGGGTTAATATGCCACTTACTCCTAGGAGGGCTACAGGACTGCGGTCTTTTCATCAAGTAATAAATATATAACCCATCTTATGTGTGTTCCGTTTGTTTAAAAGACATTTGATTTCATAGTTGATACATTAATAAGAAACTCAGTCTACAACACTTTAATTCACTTGTGGAAATAGCTTATCAAACACAAGCATCTTTTGTTTAAGGAGCATTCAAGCACTTGAGAAGACTAGATAAGAATGATATTATTATTATTATTATTATTATTATTATTATTATTATTATTATTATTTTGGGGCATGTTAGAGAGAGATGGGGGGAAGCACAAAAAACGGCAGCAGTGGACAGGGAGCTCTCATGGCCCAAAGGCCAGCGGTTTGAATCCACCAGCTGCTCTGTGGGAGAGAGGCCGTTAGTTCCAACTCAACAGCACACACAACAGGCTATAAAAAAGGACACCTGTTTGCTGTACAAAAGCTGAAAGAAGAAGGCAGACTGTCGCCTTATTTCCCTTAGTTGAGAATGTGTATGTTCAGTTACTTGATATTTTGCTGGCATGGGCGTCTCTGTGAGTGTCCAAAGAGTACCATGAGGAAAAATTCTGGGATCACAAATGAATTTTAAGTGAACCCACAAATTTAGAATATGAAACATTTGGATATATTGTACTTCCTGTTTCTGACTTAAGTATTTGGACGTATACTATTATTTAGTGAAGAGAGTTGGTTAACAATTCTTGGGTTATTTGTTGTCATGTGCTCGCAAAATGTTGTTGTTGTTGTTATGTGCCGTCGAGTCGCTTGCGACTCATAGCAACCCTATGTACAAAAGCCCTAAACTCCTCTTTGTCCTGTGCCAATCGCAGTGTCTCTGACACCCCCTTCCCAATTATCCCAGTCACTGAATCAATCCACCTCATAGAGGGCCTTCCTCTCCTGTGTTGTCCCTCCACCCTCCCAAGCATGATGTCCTTCTCCAAGGACCTGTCTCTCCTCACAACATGTCCAGAGTATGCTAGACGGAGCCTCAGAATCCTTGCCTCCAAGGAGCCACCCGGTTTGACCCTTTCCAGGACAAATCTGTTTGTTTTCCTAGCAGTCCATGGTATTCTCACTACTCTTCTCCAGCACCATAGCTCAAAGGCATCAATTCTCCTTCTATCCTCCTTGGTCATTGCCCAACTCTCTGATGCATAACAAGTGATCGCGAAGACTATGACCTGTATCAGACGCACCTTAGTCTCCAGAGAGACACAGGACTGAATATTCCATGGACTGGTCAAAACTGAAACCAACTTGTGCTGGATAAGTTCATCCAGAGTACTTCTTTGAAATAAAAATTCTAAGATGTCATCTCACATACTTTGGATATGTCATCAGGAGGGTTCAGTACTTAGACGAAGACGTCATGCTTGGAAAGGTGGAGGGCCAGTGAAAACAGGAAGATTATCAACAAGATGGACTGAGTCACTGACTCTAACAATGGGCTATATTGTTGTTATCAAGTGCCATCAAACTGACCATGACCCCTAGCAAGCCCAAGGATGCCAGCTTTGAATTGTGCCCTCTCCTGTCCTGTCCCCGCCTTCTCTGACACACTTTAGACCATCATTACAGTCACCTGCCTCACTCCACCCTAGTGAGGGTCTCCTCCTTCGCCGACTCTCTACCTTTCCAAGCATGATGTCTTTTTCCAAGGTCTGGTCCCTCCTAATCACATGATCAAAGTATGTCAGATGAAGTTTCACTCTCCTTGTCTCCAGGGAGAACTCTGCACTCTTTCCAAGCCATACTTGTTTGCCATTGCAGTCCATGGGGTATCCAGCACTCTCCTCCAGCACCACAACTCAAAGGCAGTGGTTCTTCCTCTGTCTTCCTTTCTCATTATCCAACTTTTAGATGCATAACAAGTGACTAAAAAGACCATCGCTGGAATCAGGCATTCCTTAGTCTTCAAACTGACATCTTTTAAAGCAACACAACACATTTTTCTGATTTGCTGGTTGCTGGTGCCAAAGGTGTTGACTGTGGGTCCAGGCAAAAAGTCATTGACAATTTCTATCTGTTCTCCATCTAATGTACTTATTGGCCACTGCTTACGGTGGAAACTATGAGGACGGCACAGGAGTGAGCAGGTGTCTGTTATACAGAGGACTGCCATGTGTCAGGGTCAATGTTAAGGCATCAAACAACAAAATTACCCATGAAAACACTTCTGTAGGGTAAGTATTTTGAGAAGAATGTGAATCACAGGACAATTATTTGTGCTTGTGTAAAACCCAGACCTAAACAATGAAGAATTCATTTCAAACAGAAGAAGGGAACATTTTGTGAATAGAGCTCATATTAAATATGGGCAATTGAGGAGATGATACTGGAAAGACATAAAACACGGAATCATAAAAAATAAAAAGAGAGCATAAAAGAGGAGAACCCTGATTGTCAAGCCTTATAAAATAGCAATCATTGGTGGTGTCCTTTTCTTAAAGGTATGTCTTGTTTTGGCTCAGTTAAAGACTTTGGATTTTTTGAGATCAAAGAGATTTTAGCTAAGAGACTCTAAAGCTTTTAGGAATAGTGTGTTCATGGATGTGTTCCTTGAATCTTAGAGACTGTTTTATTTCCAGAACTTGAGTCAACTTCTGCTTGGAACTCCTGGGAGGTAAAACCCTTGTTTCTAGAAGCTCAGGGAGTCCTGGTAGCCTGGCAGGAGGAAGTTGTGCTGTCAAACCAAAGGCACGCTGTTCGAATCCACCTGCTGCACTGTGGAAGAAAGATGGGCAATCTCGTCTCATTCAATTTATAGCCTCAGGAGGGGCAGCTTCGAGTCAGTTCTGACTCCAGGACAACGGGTGAGTGAGGGTCGAGAAAGCGAGGAGCAGTTAGGTCCAGGAGGGCCGTGAAGACCACCCTGGAAGTGCCTGAAATCAAACTCACATCTACAAACCCGAAGTGGCCTCAGGGTTTAAAATTTAGCTCCCAAGTGTGGAAAAGAACCCAAAAGTGGATGGTTCGAACCCACCAGTTGCTCCAAAAGAGAAGGATGGACAATATCCTCCCTTGAGATATACTGTCTCTAAACCTCACTGTTATGTCAGTTCTATGGTCAGCTGTGGGCTAGTTCTGATTCGAAGGTATACAACAATACTACATTTTATATGCCTTTGTTATACTTGCATTTCCAAAATATGTCCACTATATTTTTCCTCTCTACTTTCTTTTTTGGTCAAACACTCTTCTAAGTGGTATAGGACTGGTCTGTCCATTTGCTGTACAGAGCTAACTCATGGTTGCTGTGATGCTAAACACTGTGACACTGATGGGTCAAATGTGATAGTGGTTACCCATGGTGGCCAGTGTTTGTTGGAGATTCACAATTAAAACAAGCTTGGAAGCAGGAGTGGCATCCACTTCCATAATGACCTCTGGAAACCCTATGAACCTGGAGAAACGATGAGAGTCATAGAAGTGTTCAGGCCTTTCATTCCTAGGGTCACTAAGAGTTGCCTACGACTCGACGGCATGCCACTTTCTCACAAGAGAGAAATTTTAGAGAATTCTCAGGGACTACGAGACAAAATTTATTTTACACTTTATTGCCTCTGTACAGTATTCTTATTTCTTTCTAGATTTGCAGTTAAATACTACTATTTCATATTACATTATGAGGACATCTTTGGGGAGAATAAGTCAGATGGGAAATATTTTATCAAAGAATTGGTATGTTTTAGACCCAGTCGGACGTTAATATATGACTTCAGGGAAAAACCTTCCCATCGACGAGGCTCTTTAAGGATGACTGCAGGGCCTCTTGTTGGTCAGGGAGCTTTACCATCCTGTTGTTACTGTTGTTGTTAGGTGTTGTCAAGTCGTTTACAGCTTATAGCGCCTCTGTGAACAAGAGATTGGAGGCTTGCTCTAACCTGTCATTCTCATCATCTCAAATAGGCATGTGGCTCTTTGAGGGTTTTCCCATCTTTCCCTAACTCTTCGCCTTTCCCTGCATGATGTCTTTCCCAAGGACAGACCTCTCCCTAAAACAAGTCCAAATACATAAGGTGAAAGTTTACCATTCTTGCCTTCAGGGAGTAGCCTGCTTGTGCTTTTTTAAGGCGTGTTAGTTTGCTTTTTTTTGGCAGTCCCTGGGATATTCAGTACTCTTCTCGAACACAATTAATTAAAAGGCATTGATACTTCTTTTATCATCTTTATTCATTATTCAATTTCCAGAAGCAAAGCAAGTAATTGAAAAGACCTTGACTTGCATCAGATGCACCTTAGTCCTTAAACTGTTATCGGTGCTCTTTAGCACTTTGAAAAGGTCCTTGACATTGGACTTTCCCAGTGTTCTTCATCTTCTGATTTCTTGACTGCTGGTTCCAGAAGGGTGGGTTGTAGATCCAGGTAAGATGAAATAACTGACGATTTCAAGCTTTTCTCCACCCCTCACCATGTTGTCTGTTGGTCCAGTGGTTAGGAGTTTTGATGTTGAGATGCAATCTATACTGAAAGCTGTAATTTTTTTTATCTTCTGCAGCAAATATTTCAAATCCTCTTTACTTCCAGCAAGCAAGGTTGTGTCATCTGCATAGCACAGGTTAATGAGCTAGGAAATCTAAATCTAGTGTAAGGGGATTGCTTCTCTTTTGAAACTTTAAAAACAACTGCAGCTTGGGACACATTAATGATATAATGTCTGAAAAGAAATGAGAAGATATTGCTGTTGTGGTGTTGTTGCTATTAAAGTCAATTCTGAGTCGGAGTGGCATTTATGTACACCAGGTGGGACCCATGCCCGACCCTGAGTCACATTCTCTGCTGTGCTCAAGATCACTAGTGTCCTCACCGTGTCACTGTCTCTACTTGAAATTCTTCCCCTCCTCTGACAATCCTCTCCTTTTCTAAGCATGGTGTCCTGCTCTAGGGAATCCCTCCATACCCTGAGTCAGAGCTGACTCATAGCCCCCTCCAGGGGCTTTTCAGAGATTGTCTGGAGGAGTTTGCCCTTCCTTCTAGTCGATCCAAACTGGCTGCCTTTGGGTTGGCAGTGCAATGTCTGAGACACTTGACCACCTCTTCTCTGAGGACTGTGGTTGTTGCTGTGTGCCATCAACAGAGAATCAACTCAGAGCTGACCTTCCAACATGTTTTCAGATGCGATAAATTACATGAGAGGAGACCATCCACCTTTCTATCACGGCTAAGCTGCCAAATTCGAACTGTATCTCTAATAACATGTTTAAAGTATGTGAGAGAATTTCACCTGCCTTGCCTCTAAGCATCACTCTTGTTGTACTTCCTCCAAGACAGATTTTGTATTCTTTTGGTAGTCCAAGGGATATTCAAGATACCTACTCTCCAACACCACAATTCATGGAGAGACACAATCCTCCACTTTGCTTTGCCACCAGGATATCACCAAATACCAAAAGAGGAATTTCTTTTAAGGTGCAATTGAACACAGATATTTATTAATCATTGTCTGAAAGGGATTGTGTTCTGAGGTGCGTGAATATAAGACATAATCTCTGCCACTCAATTCTTTGGGATGGATAAGTAAGCATTGAAGAAGTTTCTTCAGACTGATAAATAGAGAGGTATTTGAAATCTACAGTGACTTTGAAACACACACACTGAGTTGATTCTCATTATTCATAGCAATTCTTCTCTTTGAGCTCCTGGATGGCACAAACGCTTAAAGAATCCAGTTGTTAAATGAGACACTGACAGCATGCATCGATTCAGGGGGGTACGGGAGAAAGTCCTGGTGACTTAGATATAAAGAAGACCAGTCGTTGAAAAACAACTATGCAGTCCAGCTTAAACCTAACATAGGGAGACGCCATGGGTGGCAACCGAATCTGACATTCTTTTTGGGATGTTTTATGAAGTCCCCTAATCACTAGATTAGGAAAAATCCTTCAAGCACCAAAATACAAATACTAAATACAAATACTAAAACTAGCTGCATTTGACCTCAGCTGGGAAAGCGGCATTTCACTCTGCTTGTGACCAGGACCATAAGTAACCATAATAACTCATCATGTATTGATTTTCTGCTGCTGTTGTTACTAGGGACTATTGAGTCGATTATAACCCATGGTGATCCTATGAACAACAGACCAGAAGCTTGTCCTGTTCTGTGACATCCTCGCTTTCACCACCAGGGTTGGGCCCACTGTTACAGAATTTGTTCAAATTTGTATTTGAATTTTGTAAATAAACTAGTAGAAACATAAGAAAAATTTAAAAAAAAAACTAAGGGGGGGGGAGATCAAAGGCTACCGTATACGTAAGATGACATAAATAAAATATCAGTTGGAGTTAAAAAAAAAAAAAGAAATCATAATGACTTGTTGATGTTAAGTGCCATCAATTCGACTAAGACTCAGGCGACCACTGTGAGCAACACATCTGAACCCCGCCCTATCGTGTGCCAACTTCATGACCTCTGATATGTTTGAGTCCACTGTGCTAGCCACTGTGTCAGTCCATATCATTGAGGGTCTTCCTGTCCTTTAATGAGTAGGAAAATGAAAATGATCAGGACACACTGTGTCTTCTACAACTTGAAACATCAAAGCAATGCGACCTACCATTGCGGCAAGTGCGCTGACGTCTGGCAGGAAGGATTCGACCCTTTGAGAGTTCCGTTATTCTGGGTGGATTGTACAAACTTAAAAGCAGCAGCAATTTTTCTGTAAGGGAAACAGACATTGTAATCAGGCCTCCATGCTTATAATTTACATACAAAAAGAAAGACAACTGCTGAAGGAATTGTTGAATAAGGAAATACTCCACACATGAGAAAATCACGTCACACTTTTGTGTGCACATGGGGAATCTGGATTTGTGAGCTCTTCTGGGTCCAAAGGGAGTTGCGTGGTTAACCCACAGTCCCCTCTCCTCCAGTGGTTCGAATTCACCAGCTGCTCCACAATAGAAGAATGAACAGTCTCTTTCCATGTGATATACAGTCTCCGGAAATCAGCTATATGGTCGGCTGTGAGTGGATTTCAACTCGATGTCAATGATTGTTTTCAGTTATTAAAGGGCCACTGACCTTGTGGAAGTATCTAAAGTCAGAGCAATGTGGTGTGTGTAAACAGAGCTGTCTGGAAACTGAGCCTTAACTCCATTTCAAGGTCTTCATGAGTCTAGAATCCATGTGGAACTTTAAAGCTGCATTTTTAAGCAGCAGTTCCTGTCCGCTTTTTGCAGACCTAAACATACACCCAAAGGAAAGCGATCTTTTTCTCTGGGGTCTGGCAGGAGTAGAGTATTACGGGCCATTCCCACTATCATCAATCCATCAACCCGTCAGGGCTGGTGAGCTGGAACTGACTCACAGCTGACTCTGCACTGAATTTTCAGAAAAAAGCTGTAAATTCCCTGGGAGGAGACTGCTCACCTTTCTCCCCTGGAACAGCTGGTGCCAAACAGATACAAGAGGTGATAGGAGGTGTCTGAAGAGACTTAATACACAGCGTTCTCAATGAATCTTCACAGTACACCCTCGGAACAGATCTTCTTGTGGAAATAATTTTATGACTATGTTGTTGTGTGCTGCTGAGTGGAATCCAACTCAGAGCTCGTGCTCCAGCAGGTTTTCAGAGGCAGTAAATCACCCAGGAGGAGACGGTGCATCCCTCTCCCACAGAGCAGTTCGTGCATTCAAACCATGTGCTGGTGGTGAACGCGTCACCATGGGCTCCAGTTGTTTCTTGTCTCTCAGAGGTGGTCTGAGGTGAACTGCCTCCTGAAGCCTCAATATTATTGCGTTTGACAACCCTTTTTTTAAAAAGAATTGCTACACTTAAAAAAACCAACCCTTTTTATATTAGTTTGCTTACAAAGTTCGTATACATTGTGTTTCACACTATTATTTTCACTTATGTTTCATATAATGCACCGTATGTTTCATATAATCATTTCTATGCATTATGTTTTAGAAAATTAGTAATCATTGTACTATGTCCATCATTACCCTGTCTTTTCAGGTCCCCACTGGATACTTCCCATTTCCTTCACCCGCCCCCTCCTTCACCCACCACATTGTGCAACCCTGTGGTTTCACCCCTACCCATCCTCACCCCTCTGCTCCCTCTCCTTACTCTCCTGGGTCCCCATATGTTTTACTAGTTATCTTTGTATTTTTACAATAATGACCATATGCAATACTTGTCCTTATTAGACTGAGTTAGTTCACTCAGCATAAGGCTCTCCAGTTTTTCCCAAGTTATACAGTAGTTTTTGAAATAGCTGATTTGGAGTGCTGCATAGTAGTCCACTGCATGAGTGTACCACAATTTCTCAATCCATTCAGTTGTGGTTGGACATTTGGGCTGTTTCTATGTTCTTGTGATGGTGACTAACACTGCTATGAACATTGGTGTACAAATCTCCGTTTTTGTCTCAGTTCTAATTTCCTTGGGGTATATTCCTAGTAGTGGAATAGCTGGGCCATATGGAGTTTTTATATTCAACTTTTTTTAGGAAATGCCAAACTGCCTTTTAGAATAATTGTATCATTTTACAGTAAAACCAACAGTGTATGAGAGTTCCTATCTCTCCACATCCTCTCCAACATTTATCGCTTGCTGCCCTGTTAAACTTTGTCACTGCTACTGGGGTGAGATGGTATATCACTGTGTATGAATTTAGTAGGGTGGAAGGATACAAGATCAATATCTAAAAATCAGTGGGATTCCTCTACAGTAACAAAGAGAACTCAGAGAAGGAAACCAAGAAAGCAACACTATTTATAATAGCAAACCACAAATTGAGAAACTTGGGAGTAAACCTAACTAGAAACACAGAAGATCTGTACCAAAAAAACCTACAGAACATTTCTGCGAGACACAGTAAAAGACCTAAAAAAATGGAAAAATGTGCCCTCACAGTTAGACTGAATATTCTGAAAATGACAATCGTACCAAAAGCAATGTACTTGTTCAATACTCTCCAAATACAGATACCAAATTCATTTTTCAAGGAAATTGAAAGGAAAATGGTCAAGTTTCTTCAGAGAGGAAAGAGACCCTGAATAAGCAAATACTTCTGAGAAACAAAAATGAAGTGGGTGGCATAGCACTCCTTGACCTAAAACCTACTACACAACAGTAGTAACCAAAACAGCATGGTACTGGTACAATTACAGGAACACAGACTAGTGGAACAGAACTGAGAACCCAGAAACAGACCTCTCTATCCAGGTTAGGATTTACTGAGAAGCTCTTTCTGGGTCAGGGGGACCACTTTCTAGTGCAGCAAACCAAGTTAGGCTTGCCTGTACTGCCATCTTCTGGTAACTACTTGTCAACACAGCTTCTCTCTCGTCAGTTTTCCTATTTCTCCCTCTAGTGGACATCTAACAACAACAACAACAACAACAACAACAACAACAACAACAACAACAACGTGATACTCTGTTGGCCTAGTGCTAAGAAGCTGTGCTGCAATCCCAAAGGCACACAGTTTGAATTCACCAGCTGCCATCCAGAAGAAGGATGGACAATCGAATCGCCTCTCTAGCTCTGAAAACTTGCCGGAGGGTCAGCATGAGTGGGTCATGCGATGAGTGGGTTTTGATTCCACGGCCACAGTCTGAACAACCAGAGGAAGATGGGTGGTCTCTTCCTGGGTGACGTCCAAGCACAGAAACCCAGTGGAGGTGGGGCTGGTTAGCCACGAACTTGTTCTAACTCAAGGAGGGGGTTTGAGAATTAAGGGAAAGCACAGGTTGTTATTTAAGTAACACGTGCTGTTGTTCAGTGAGACAGGAAATGCTGGCAGTCCCTCCTGCACTCCATGTATGCAAGGGTTACACTCCAAAGCTCTTTCACACAGTGAAAGAAAGAGGAGGATTCTTTAGAACTTCAGTGGTCAAAAGTCCAAGTGTTGCACCCTTTCTTGGGTCTCAAAATTCATCCAGGTTTCTATTGTTTGTTGGCTTGTTTACCTGAAGCATTAAATAGGTTACTTTCTAAGCCACCTTTATAGGATGATTATAAATTCTAATCACTATAAAATGGGACGTTAGTTCCAAAAATATAGGACATACGATTTGCATTTATAAATGCATGCATGGTTTTGTGCTTTTCTTTCTATGCAGATATAGGTAATTTTAGGTCTAATAGGGATGTCTACTGGCCTAGTTTGTAGGGAGCTGCATTGCTATCTAAACGTTGTATCTCTTTTTATAGTTGGAATCCATCAATAGACCATTATTAGGAGAAGGACGGACTGTATCCTCTTGTGTCATTTACAGCCTTGGAAAGCTGTTGGTGAGCCAGCCGTGTGCTGGTTCCAGCTCAACAGTAATGAGTTTTGGAGTTTTGAGGCCTAACATGGATATAGACAGTTCTTAAAACGATACTTGTCAGATGAAATCAACCTGAAGGTCTTATTTGGACTTTTTCTAGGGAGCTTTGGTGGCCTAGTGGTTGGAAAGTGCACTTCAATCCTGAAGGCATATGATTCAAATCCACCAGCTGCTTGTGGGAAAAGGATAAGCAGTCTTTTGCCACACAGTTAAAAGTATCTGAAAACCTGCTGGAGGGTCAGCCATGGGTCAGTTCTGACTCTACAGTACACAATAACAAACAACAAACTGATACATTATATACAAATACCAATTCTTTTTGGAAGACATAGTTAGCCTGGTGGAATTTCAATTTTCTTACCTTATTATATTGCGTTTTCCTAGGTATCTGAAATTTTGCAGACAGACACTAGGGGGGAAAAAAAGGTCAACTTTAATTATTCAAACACTCTATTTGTACAAATTGTTATTAAGGAGGTAGAAAAAATATTGCATTTTCTTTATGTGTTAAGTCTAGTTTTTGCAGTAAATCTACAAGGATCCAAGCAAATTAATACCCAAGTGTTAAGAGTGGTAACCACCATATAAGAAATACCCACAACAGGAGCAAATGTCATTGTTTCCAGGAGTGACTTGGGAGAGACTATTACGCGTTCTTTTGATCTACTCTCCAGAACGAGAAGTGTTACTCATCCAAACTCAATCCCACTTATTAATCTCAGATAGAAAATAATTGCTGTCCACGCAGCTCTTTGACAAATGTCAACAATTCCTTATGAGCGATTATGTATTCACATAGCACGTAATATTATTTCTAGACAATTCATCACGTCAGTACTTAGAATGAAGAATGGTGCGATGATAATTTGGGACTTTTTAGAGGAAAATAGTTACTTAAGCGATTCTAAAACTTACTCCAAGATGCTGAAGAAGTCAGATACCTCTGGACTAGGGGCTCTCTGCCAGTAGGCAAACAGAGTCTCTGCAAATAAAAGAAAACCAAACAAACAAACCCACACAAAACAGCATGAAACTCTTGGAAATTCAAAGTAGCTTTGATTTATTTTGAAAATCTTACTTTTAAGAGCTGTCTTTACCTTCTGAAATCGTTTTAATAATATGAAGAAAACACATAAGAAGACTCCGGGTTTCTGCTTGGTCTAACTTGTCAAATCGGAGAGTCGAGCCTATCAGGGACAAGGGTCTTGGGATCTACAGAATTGAAGAAGCAGGGAGGCTGAATGAGGACTGGTGCGTCCTGGCCTGTGACGGATATGACTAAGTGTGTGTGTGTGTGTGTGTGTGTGTGTGTGTGTGGGAAGGGATACCTTTTCACAGTTGTCGGTCTTCTCACTGCTCTTTTCGTTGGTGCTTGGATTGGAGTCAAGACTTGCCAGTGAGGCTCTGGAATCAGCATGGTTTACTGTAGAAATAGCTATGGATGAAAATGCTGCAAACACAAGTCACAGCACATACACAGTAATGAGATGGCTGAGCACAGAGCACGTGGAAACACGATAAACCAAAAAGATGTGGATTGTTGAGGTGGTGGAGGTTATGAAAGACTAATGTGAGGCTCTTGGAAGCAGGAGTGGCATCCACTTCCGTAATAGCTTGCCTCTGGAAACCCTATGAACCTGGAGAGAGGATGAAAGGCACCCAAGCGTCGAGGACTCTCCTTCATAGGGTCGCTATGAGTCGCCTGCGACTCGACGGCACTTAACAACAACAACAACAACAATATGAGACTCTGAAGTTGCCAGGAGGAGGAGCATCATTTTCTATACAATAGAATCCTGGTCAAAAAAGTGGAAAATGCAGAGCATATTTTAAAATTCTAAGGAATCTAGACTTTTTAGAGGTATGAAGGCTAAATGAACTCCAGAAACTATTGCCAGGAGATAATCTACAAACTTTAAAAACACAACCTGCTATCTTCTTAGAACCTAAGCTTAAATTGTTTAAAATGTCTGCCTTGAGTATTATGTTTTTTAAAAAAACTACTAATGTGCGTTCAAAATGACAGCAACAAGTTGAAAGATTTGACATGAATTTTGGGGGCCTGTCAGAAATGTTAAGAGTTTATGTTATTGGGGAAAGAATAATTCTGAAAAGGAGTAGGACAATGGTACACAGTCTGAAGCATGCAATTAATATCCCTGAATTTACACGAAGAAAATTTGGAATTGGTATATGTTCTGCTGTGTTCTCAAAAACAACATAAAATACATTTAAAAATAGATGTATTACTTTAAGAATGATTATAATTCTTGGGGAGCTCTGGTGGTCTAGTGGCAAGGAGCTGCAACTACAATCTCAGAGGCGCATGGTTCAAATCCACCAGATGCTCTGCCGGGGAAGGAGGGACAATCTCCTCCTGTACCAGTCAGATCTGATTTGACGGTACACTCACACAAAAATTAAAAAAAAAGAACGATTATAATTCTAGTGCCATAATTAAGGATTGTAGAAAACTTAGGTCATTAGAAATTGAAAATAAAACATACTTGCTTTTTCTAAAATAATATTTTTGAAAGAAATCTATGTCTTGTTTTAAAAATGCTTTAATGGAAGTCCCTCGGGATACTTGTAGGGAAGGACTTAGAACTTTTGATCATTGGTGAGGAATGGCAATGCCCTATCCCATAGAGGTCTGTAAGATCATCTTTGAAGTTGAGGTGCTATTTTAACTCGAATGGCTGTACACAATGAGAACATGAGGCTGTGTCCAGAATGGAGCAATCTGATTACAGTCAGGCAGACTATTTCTTAATTTAAGGAAAACAAAACAAAAAAAGGACTAAGTGGAATCGCTGGCAGGCGTTCAGTGAATTATGTAAAAAGCACTACTACGCTGTAGAAAGAGGCATGCTTTGCCATATACATTATTCATGATGAATTAGGGATTGAATAAAAAGCACAATGATATACAATGTAAACATGATGGTGTCAAACACAAGGGTTCTCTTATGGTCTTAGGTACCTGCTATTGAATTTAAAACATCCTTGGAGAATGATGTATCTACAGAGTTTGCATGTTTCATTGCTGTCTGGGTTGGAAATCCTCCACTTGTGCTTAGATCATCTCTAGAACCCTGTATTCAAAGCAAAGAAGAATGGAAATCACATAACTTCAGCATCGCAAACCCACATATGTAATCTACATTATAATTTCTGGGACAGGGCATTTATTCTTTTATAAAAGTATCTGCCAAATTAAACAAAGATCATGAACATAATCAAAACCATTTTCTTAGCTAAAATGTGAACTCTTAATTGATTTTTTAAATGCAGTAGAAACAGACTTTTTTTGTTGTTGGTAGCTTTTTAAAAAATTAATTTTAATGTAAGTTTACAGAGACTTTGGATTTCCATTCATTCGTTGTTACACTTTTCTCCCCGCTCACCCCTACCCCCCACATTTGCTTTCTCTTTGAAAAGTAAAAGAAAAATTCTTTCATTGTTATACAACCCCTCCCTCTAAGTCCACTCCAGTATACATTCTGGACTCCTGTCATGACAATAATACCTAATTCCTATATCCCTTTAAACAGCTCTCTCCCTCATCTGTTTCAATGCAGTATACATTATTTATCCCCTCTTTTTCAGTCTCCCCTCAACCCCGATGTCATTCCCGTTTTACAACAGTGACACAATGCAGTATTTGTCCTTCTGTGACTAAGGTATTTCACTCAGCCTAATGTCCTCCAGGGTCATGCATTTGATATAATATTTCATGAGCTCCTTGTTTTTCAATGCAGCGTAGTATTCCATTGTGTGAATATACCAGAGCTTCTCTTTATATTCGTTTGTTGATGGGCACTTGGATTGTTTCCAGCTCTTTGCTATTGTGAACAAAGCCACGATGAACATGGGTGTGCATATATCTGCTTTTACAACTAAATATCTGGAATATTTATTGATATATTTGTGACTCAATATAATGTGTATTCACTATTTTCCTGGATTATAGTATGTGTTTTGTTATACATCCATAATAACAATATACATAATATACATTATATGTACACATATAACAATATACATACTATAATCCAGGAAAATAAAGAACACATGCTGCACTGCAATCCTGACAGCACATGGTTTGTGGCCACGAGCCGCTCCATGGGAGAAGTATAGACAGTCTCCTCCCGGGAGATTAACTGCCTCTGAAAACCTGCCACAGAGGGTCAGCTGTGGGTCGGTTCTACACAATAACAACAACAGTATAATTACAATGCGTAATGATATTCTTACTATTATCCTAGATTGTCTGTGGCAAATATTTTCCATGATACAATTCAATTCTCACAGTAATCACTTGATAGAGATTTTTAATCTCATTTTGTAATAAGGCAATGGAAGTATTAAAAGGCTGAATAATTTATCTTAAAACTCACTGGGATAATGACAAACAGAGCTGAGATTTGGGGGGGGGGGAATGTTGCAAAGCATAACTCCTAAAGGTTGGATGATGGTATCTTCCACGGGTACTGAATCAGCATTGTGCTAATGTCCCTGACATTTGAATACAGGCAGCTAATCTCTAATAAGATAAGTGGTCATTTGGGCAGCTCCGTGGAAGAAGAACATTGGCGAGGTCCTTCCCAGAAATGTGACTGTAGATAAAGTAATTGCTACACCGATTCTAGCTGACCATCAAGCAGTACAGAGAGGGGAGAGGACCACAGATGTAACGGAGAAGTCCGGGAACATGGGAGGAAAATACGGAGAGAAAAAAAATAAAACCACTTGGAAATATGAATTAGGAGGAAAGTGACCAGTAGGGAACAGAGGGTACTGACGGAAACATCTCAAAATGTCTGGCAAGAGACTTGTGTAATCTCTCGTTTTCTCAACAGTTCGGGGTGGGGGGTATGGGAATCTCAAGCAAATGCATGTAAACGACAAACTCTTGAGGGGACGTTCTGGCCTCCTTTTTAGGAGCTGCAATGTTAACCAAAGGCTGAGCCCCTCTGCCAGCCGGAATCCACCAGAGACTGTGCGGGGAAAAGAGGGACAATCCCCTGAGGTTCGCAGCCTCGGGGACCCACACGGGGCTCAGCTGTGAGTTAGCTTTGATTCTATGACAGTCAATGCTTCAAGTTCTTTAGTAAGATAACATTCTCAAACTGGATGAAACATTACCTGATTCGACGTGTTAAAGGTAAACGGATACAGGTCCTTCAGGTAGATCCTTGGCATATTGTCCAAAAGCATGCCATACAGAGGCATATATAAACTCGCTATCTGGGCCTGCTTCTCCTACATGAGACAGGAGCCAGGAGACATAATTGACATACAGATCAATAGGCTTGTAGGTCTCATGTGCGTTTAATGCGGTGCTTCACTGAATGGCACACAGGGAAGGGAGAAAGGCGGCTCACTTACTGGTTCTTGGTATCGATCATCAAATGAATGCTTGGCCATCAGATTCTTCAGCACCGCTAAAGCCAGGTGCCTGATGTCTTGATCTTCCTGCAGAGCAAAGCCGACTTCTCGGAGCAGAATGCCAATTAAGAAGTGTTTGCGGCAAAATTCATTCGTGACTGAATATTCAGGCATATCTTTAGGAAGAGAGGGGAGAATCTCTCAAGCTACTGAAAATCAAGTAAATAGTCTGTCAGTGAAGACACCTTCCCACTGCAGGGACGGACAGATTTAAGAGAAGAGTCTGGCAACAGAGATGTGACATGAGTGTGTCTTCCAAAAGTATTCAAGTAAATAGGTTGTTCTGCTGTATACGGAAAAACAAATTCAAATAGCTCATGGTATTAGGGGATAGATTCCATTAAAGAAAACAGTACATGGTATTAATGGAATGGACAGGAGAGAGATTTATCTGAAGCCTGAACAAATCAGAAAGTGTTACTGGATGGAAGGTTTTGAGATGGGCATGTGGAGTTGCGTAGGGTATGGAGACATTAACCTGTGAGACTACATGAAGGTAGTGAGTAGTAAACTGAGGAGCAGTATGAAGGGGCCAGAAACCGAAGAAAACAGAACTCTTCAATCAAGGGATTGAAAGAAAGTTTATCTGCTTTAAATATGCAACTTGTTTCAGTAAAAAGAAACTTATATAAAACTAAAACCTCAATTTTGAAAAGAGAGTTCAAGATCAATTATGCTTTATCAGAAAAATACACCAAAGGAAATTCATTCCATTGAACAAGTGAGTCACTGTACATTTTAGGTACTTAGGAAACAAGCAAACAAAATACCAAGTACTGGAGAACAAAATACAAAAGAATACAAGTTAGGGACATCATCAAAGTATCTGTAACAGGAAAAATATTTTAGACAATTTTTTACATCATGAATATAGGATATTAAATATCTGGCTATCTAGTAGCAGCTAGAAAACACAGTTGTCTTGTTGGATTAATCAGTATCTGTAGCCATTGATATTGTTTTATTATTGTATAGTTATTAATACTTAGGTAAGTAAGATAAAATATTACTATTTACCTGATGCATGTAACTCTTGAGTTGATTCTGAAGGTGTCAAAGGATCTAGATTTTACACACAAAAATTTAAATAAATATAAAATTTAAATGAATATAAATAGAAACACATATTTATTAACTAAGTATCATTTATGTTGTAAAATTAGAATGCATTCTTAGCTTTCTATGTAAGCACCTGTTTTTCTTCCATTAGAAACTTGTTTGCTATAAAAAGGTTTAAATTTTCACTCATTACAGTATCAGAAGCACACAAAGACACTCTGAGGCATTTTTCTGAGCTACTGATAAAGAGAGAACAATTACTGTCAAAGTAAGCAAATACAAGTTTGGTTCTCTTTGAGTACCCTAATCAACTTAGCCACACTAGCAAAAACTTGGTAGGAGGCTGCAAAAATAAACCACATACAAATACAAGCAATACAATTTTTTTTAAAAAAAATGTTCAAAATGTCATTTCTACTTCCTCCCCTCTTAACAGGCTGAAAATGAGACTGTGCTTCAAAAATTAGAATAAGGAAATACTGTGTATACTCTCCATTTAAAAGTAAAGAGATGAAACTTTAATAGTCTTTTTAGATACTCTGCCTTCTTTTGTCTCCAGATATTTAGTGTAAACACAAGCGTGTTCACTCACTCACTGCTACTGCCTTGACCTTGACTCAGTGCAGCCCCCCCCCTTAGTTTCCCGAGGCTGTAAATCTCAGTGGGAGGAAAATGCCCACTTTTGTCTTGAGGGGCTGGTGATGAGTCCAGACCAGCTGGGCCCAGTTAGCAGTCACTATGGACTATGCCAGCAGGGGTCCCTGCTTACTTATAAGCATGGGAAATCGGGGTTAAAAAGCATCTTAGATTCTGTTTTCCATTTAAATTGCTCTGTGTGAATGCTCACTGCTTAGAAGAAACTATGTCAAGTTCCTAAATAATTGCATAATTTTCTTAGTATCTTGATGTTTGCCTCATTTCTGGTGCTGATGTTTGTTACACACTCTCTACCATTGTTTGTCCTCTATGTCCACGTGTGTGTGTGTGTGTGTGTGTATACACAGATAATGTGTACACACACATACACACACATGATTTTAACAAAAATGAAGCTATTTTAAACAAAATGATTTCTTTTTCAAAATACGGAAGTATTTTATCAAAGCTTTGTAAATATGAAATATTTTATAACAAAAATATTTCTGGACATTATTACAGCCAGAAGAAAATATACCCATGTGTGAAGCAGGCCTTACTTGCACGCCACCCAAGCTCCCTCCCTTTCTGGCCCAGAAGCATCAGTACACACAGTGCTTCGTCCCCTCCCTTCTTCTACTCTCTTTCTTTCTCTTCTTCCTCATTTCCTCCCCTCTTTTTTTCCCCCCATTATTTGCACAGTACTGCATTTCTTGGTACAACTCATCTTTAATAACTGGATTATAAAATAATTGCACATATTAACGTAATTTTAAATACACTTACCAGAGCATAAATTCTCCCTCTGACTGACCCACAAGGGTTAATTTTAAATTTTCTTGTTCTTGCATTTAATGAAAAGAATTATAAAGGTAACATTTTCAGAGCATTATTACATTCATACTTTATGCTAAGAACATCTGCCAATATGATAAAATTCATAAAAGGGGTGAAGAAACCCCATAGCAATCTGCAAAATAAGCCAATAAAAGATCCATTCTGCAGGAAGAGAAGAAAATGCTGAGAGTCTACCTGGAATGTTTGCTGATCTTATGGGAAGACACAGAGGAATAAAGTGCTCATGCTGACATACTTCTTGAAGAAAATCAAATTTATACTGGCATAATGTCTGAAAGAGAAGAAAACAGAGTGACTAGTGCTTATAACAACTTTCATCAAAATCAAGATCTGCATTTCAAAAGTGATATTAAGTTATCATGAAGTCACAGTGCATTCTAAATGCTTTTTTTTTGAAGTTGAGATTTTTATTGTAAGTTTATAAAGAACTTGGGTTTCCATTCATTCATTGTTGCACATTTTCCTCCCTGCCTCCCCCCTCCCCAGTTCACTTTTTTCTTGGGGAAAAAAATTCTTTCATTGTTATAAAGCCCATTCTCCCCCAAAGACCACTTGACTATGCAGCTCTTATTTTGGACTCTTGCCGTACAAATAAATACCTAGTCATATATTTCTTTTATACAGTTCTCTCCCTTGTCTGTTTCAATGGCATGTACATTACTTATCCCCTCTTTTCTTAGTTTCCCCCAAACCCCTGTCAGTCCTGTTTTATTAAAAAAGGCTTTTGTTAACTCCAGAAAGTTTAGCTTTATTTTTGTTGTTATGGTGAAGTGCGTTGAGTCGAGTATATGACCCATAGTGACCCAATGAGCAACACATCTGCACCCTGCTCTATCCTGTGCCATCCTCACACTTTCTGACATACTAGATCCCACTGTAGCAGTCACAGTGTCAGTTCACCTGGTCAAGGGTCTTCCTCTCCTTCACCAATCCTCTGAGCATCATGTCCCTCTCCAAGGAAGAGTTTCTCCTACCAACATGCCCACAGTATGTGAGGTGAAGCCTCATCATCTTTGCCTCTGAGGAGCATTCTGGATGCACCCTTTTCAAGACATGTTTGTTCTTTCTTTTGGTTGTCCATGGGATGGATGTTCAGCACGCTTCTCCAACACCACAGCTCAATGGCATCAAGTCTTCTTCTGTTACCTTATTCATTGTCCAGATTTCAGATGCATAGCAAGTGATTGGAAAGACCCTGCCCTGATCAGACACACCTTAGTTCTCAACTGACATTACTTCTTTTCAATAATTTGGAGAGGTCCCTAATTGTAGACTTTCTCAGTACAATACGTCTCCTGATTTCCTGGATGCTGGTACCAAAGGTGTTAACTGTGGATCCCAAGTAAGATGAAGTTGTTGACAGTTTCAATCCTTTCTTCATCTATCATGATCTTGCTGTAGGTTCAGTGGTGAGAATCTTTGTCTTCTTGACACTGAGATTCAATCCACATTGAAGGCTGTACTCTTTGATCCTCTGCAGCAAGTGCTTCAGGTCCTCACTTTCAGCAAGTCATTTGTTGTTATATGCCATCAAGTGGAAACCAACTCTTAAGTAGGTTTTCAGAGGCTGTAAATCCCATGGGAGGAGATCGTCCATTTTTCTCCTGTGAAGCAGGTTGTGGATTTGAACCATCTGCCTCTGGGGTGGAAGGACAACTCTTTATCACTAGGTCAGTGGAGCTACATAAGTATAGTTAGGGTCTCTATGTTCTGGAAATTGATCAAGGTATCTATAGGAATGATATCTTATCATTCAGGAAGAGTGTAAACGGTCATTACAAAGACAGAAGAGGAAGAAAAGACCAAAATGGATGTCAGAAGAAACTCTGAAG